ATTTCTTGCACTGCGTTTATTTAAATGTTTACTCTTGTACATGTAATAAGAAGTTGATAAGCCATACACTGTGATTACACACAATTCGTGGGAATTATTTGTTTAGTTAAAAATATTTAATTAATTTAGTATAAATATACATACATACATATGTTTAAAAGTGCATGACTCAGATAATAAAGATAACAAAGACGCACCGGACGGATCGAACTAATTTAAAATGAAACTCTCGGTTTTATGAGGTGTTTTCAAGCATCTTTGCTCTACGCTTAGTGCAATTCTTTCTTAATGAAAATGATTTCCATACAACAATGGAAATAATGGAAATCGGCGCTTTGTTGAAGCTTTGAAGTATTTTTTATATGAGAGATTACATAAAAAATAGCCATTATCATAATCGTATTTCTTGTCCTCAAATCCATACTTATTAGAAGTCTATTCTAAGCCTATAAGTTCTATTCATTTCAACTTCCAGATTATTTATCATTAGGGTGATCTGTTCATTTATGGAAGAATTTTTCATTTTCTGTGCAAGAAAATTTCGTTTCTTAAGTCTTTGCATAATCAACTTTAAATTCTTTTTTGAGTAAGTTTAATATTCAAACATTTAAATCTAACAGAACGCTATGAGGAAGATTATGACATATAAGCCAAAGGGGAGCAAGTGACCCGTGAGAGTTTATACTTAAGAGGAACGAAGTGCGTTGCTGATAATAAGAAGATCCTGGTAATGCTGAAGGTTACACTGAATAGGAACTGTTTCAACGTAAATTGGCGACTAGATAGGTTTAATGTCTAAAAAACTCTGTACTATAGCTATTAGTATACCGACCGTGCCCTTTTCCCGAAGTACATTTTTTTTGGCTACTCCCCCGACCTTGTAGGTAGTCATATGCTGAGATCTTGTCGTGTTGGCAAAACAGCTTTGTATTTCTTATCGAAAGTGGATGGCGTTGTAAAGAATAGTCAAAAATAATAGGTGACGAGAGTGCCGCCAACATATCTGGTATAACTGGAAAGTCCTAATGTTATCTCGATCCATCAAGAAGGCTACCTTAAGTCTTACGGTCGCAATAAACGGTGACCTCTAAAGAAATTAGATCAAGCGGCATAGATGCAACATCATAGAATATATTCGGTGTACTATACTCGGAAAGAGTACTTTTGATATAACTATCTTTTTTTTTGCAAGTACCTTTGCGGTTTCCGTAGTGTGTGCCAATGTCTGTCATACCAGATCAGCTTACTGTATGAAACTACTCCGCGACTATCTTGCCAAATTTTTGAAAATTCAGTTGGTATCATCTAATTAGTTAAAAGGTTAAAAAGAGCTGGTGATATCCACTAGGCTGTAAAAAGAAATAACCCAGTCGTAGCTGGTCTTAGCGTCCTGCGGGCAGAGCAGATGGTGGACAAGTCTAACCAGAGAGTTGTCTATATATCTGGAGAGCTGCCATGGCTGGGGAAATGCAAAGTCATTTCAGTGGATATACTTACCGGGTCGTATACAATTACAGGCCTTACTAAATGCTAATCCCGAAAAGAGACCTTTTTCTACTTAAAAATTTAATTAATCAATCACAGGTCTAAATTCCATCACTGGACCTCAACGTCATCTAACCACGTATTTATATCTCGTTCTATACTCATCCTTATCAATCTCAAAAAGAATAGAAAGCCATGTCGGCTACCAGACACTTGAACTTTGCTGTAAAACTCAGAGATTTAGGCTTGTAAGGAAACAAGATTCTTAGGACATGAATCAATCATCAGAGAAATGTACAAGTAAAATAAAAAATACGATGAACTGTAGGTAGGCCTTGACGGACTTACATATATGAGTGCTTCAGAATGTAGAACTTAAGCCTGTCTGACCGACAAATGATAGAGTAGAAGTAATTTTGACTAATTGTGAAGTACTCTTGGGATTCACGCAGTGAGACTAAATATCCCACCGTAGCCTCATTGTGGCAACTCCATATAATCATCTCATCACTTCCGTTTAACTTGCACAGCTTTTGCTGACTGCGATTCAAGCACATACGCCTACAGTTTTACATAGGACCAATGCTTATACTCTAAGTGCATCCTTTGTCCAGTGGCAACCACCACCTTAACCTAACATAACCTAAAATAGGGTCGCCAATATTGACTTCAACCTTGGCTTCTACTCCCATACAGAATGGTATAGAAACTAATACCATGTGAAATCGAAATTATGCTTTCTTGCGCTAAATCTATATATTTAATTCCTTCATTTGAACAAATAAAAAAAGAAACTAATCGGCAAAAAATTTAGGAAATAACAATAGGCAGTATCACGATTTCTATTTCTTTATTTGGAGTTCACAATTGTGATGCAAATATGTATTTTAATTCGATTAAATTTTGCATTGATTTGTGATCAAATGAATTATGACTATATAAGCCTGACTGATCCGCATCAAGGCATGACCGGATACTGCTATTATTATTATATGTGTATGTACGTATAGTTAGTGTGTACACTCACAGAACTATTTTCTAAAATATACTCTTGCTTTTTTGAAGTGAAAGAACCTTTTAATAATGAGATTAAAAAGTCGTCGAAGAAAGTATGAAATGCTTTTATTATGAGCCTAGATTCCGTCATCATTATAAAGTGAAAACGCATCACTTAGCTTATCATTATACTATATTTATCTTTTAATAGTCATAAATGCTTCTGAAAGCCATTTAATTCAAGCATTCAAAGGCACCGTCTTCCAATGGCCACTCTCGCCACTAAGCTGTTGTGACAATGCCTCTGCATTTTATTCAAGCGCATATTTACATACATATGTATATTTATGTTAAACAAGTGCCTGTGTTGTACAGAAAGATATGTAAATAAATATTTGTATTCATATAGGCACGTACGTGTGCATTAGGGTGGCCCAATAAAGTGAATTTGAGAAAGTTAAAGTCGGAATTTTAATGCTCTCACCATCTAGGATGGTTCTAGATTGAAAAAATTATACCATGTGTTTTTTTTGAATACAAAATATTTAGAGGTCGCTCAAAGCGTTCGAAGTTTTTGGGGTTTTGGGGTACCAATAAAAAAGTTAATACTAAAAATTTGAGTCTCTTTCTTTCTTGAAGAGTTTTAAGGATTCTTTATTATTTCTACGCAAAACTGTTTGTTTTTTTCATATAAAATACATGTGAAACTTTGAGCACTTTGAGTGACTTCCAAATATTTTTTTTTTTGTGATTTCAAAGACAAAAAAAGTGGGTATATTTTTGGATATTGGACAATACTAAGGGATGCGAGCATTTAAATTCGCACTTTGCTTTTTTCAAATGCTTTTCTGTACCACTCTAATGTTTAGATATTTAGTTATCTTTCTTTAAAGTACATGCTCTTGTTTAACATACATAAATAAACATATATAAATAGGGGGGCCAACGCTTTAAAATTCCGACTTTCCTTTATTTGGTCCACCCTAATGCTCAATTATATTCTTCCGAGCAATCTGTATCTTAATAAAAGTCATGTTGTCATATCAAAAGATAAATAAAAGATAAACGAAACGATAGCAAAAGTGATGGTGCCATTCTCCGAGTACTTTCCGTCACTGCTGTTGACATTTGGAATTCCATATGCAGCTTTAACAGATAAGCAGCTTTAATGGGTGAGCAGAAGTAGAAAAAAAACAGCATTTTCAAAGGAAAACATACAAATGTGTGAATCATTAACTTTGTTGATTATGTTATGTTGGCACAGAGCAGGGAGCCAAATGAAATTAATTATCATCAACGCCACAGCATCGGCGTGCTAAGCGCTAATCACAGCCATTTGCGAACTAATCAAACAAGCTTTTTGTCTTTGGTGTGGAGATAGACATATAAACATGCATATGTACATATGTGTATAAGTGTTTATATACACGCGCTCAAATGCGATTTGTGCAAAAATCCGCATTGAAAACAGATGGGGAAAAAGCACGAAGCAAATAACTGGTTATAGCTTTGTCTTTGAGTGCAAGTGTGGCAAGGCAAAACGGTTTGTGAGGCTGCATACTAATGTGAATTAAAAACAAAAAAAAAAGAACAAGCAAAAATAACCGATACACGCATGCTTTACTTCCTCCGAATTCAATGAATCACTTGTTTATTCTTGTGATTCTTTAAGGGACTCATCACATCTCAAGCAAATCACAACAAAATGCCCCGCACTCATAGCATTCTCAATCTTCTCTTTCATTTCAGCTGTGTTGAGTTGAAGTATAAGGAATCCATACAACAGTTATCTCTTTGTGTCCATCAGCGGCGCAGCAATCCAGTCCAGTCCAGTTCAGTTCAGTCACCCACTGCGTATTTTGCACATTTTGCCACAGAGTAGTGTGAAATATTCTGCAGTGTTGCGGCTGGTGCGGCACAAGCAGCTAAATATGCAGATAGCAACAACATATCGCAGCAGATCCAGTGACGAAGCACTCGACGAACATTTAAAGTTACAGCAACAGCAGCAACGTCAACAAGCAATGCCAATGGTAATGAATAATACACGTCGACATATTAGCGGCGTTCACAATATAGTCTTACCAGCAACACCAGCAACACCACCACCACCGCCGCCATCAGAAGCCATGCGGTTGCGTACTGATTCGAATGCGACCAGCATTTATGTGATTGGCGCAGACGCAACGTCCAGCCACAATGGCCCTGTAACGGCTATCAGCAGCGTTACACAGTCGGATAGTAATCCAGCAACAATGGAACGTAAACAGCGCAATCGTTTATCTTGGGTGAATATGCGTCGATTTGGTGATGCTGATGCTGATGATGCGACTGTGATGCATGGTGAGCATGATGGTAGAAGCGCTGTGACTATAACTCCATCACCACAAACAACGCGCAGTTATATCTCTACAGTTTCCACAATGACAGCCATAACTGGCACAGGTGGTGGCGGCGGTGGCAGTGGCACAATTAGGAGTACAAGTGGCGGTGGTGGTGGTGGTCATATGGGTAATGGTAATGGCACATTAAGCGGTCGCACAACTGCCGCTTCGGGACGCATCAGCACTAGTGGTGCTACTACCATCAGCGGTAGCAACAATACACTAAACGATATAATATCCGATTATCATAGTCATGAGGTGGCTAGCAGTAGTGATTTTCATTATTCCAACACTGTTGTGGCATCCACACCGCACACGAAGAATCTTTCGAGCAGTGGCAGCTTTAATATGACCAATGGCAGTACGGTGAAGTTGCTGCCGGTGACGGACGATGATTCCAATCAGCAGGTGAGTGAAGTTGACCAATGTTTATATTTTTTTGCATCTTACTTTAAGGCCCACTTAGTGATCGACGCTTTTCCAACGTATTCTACATACTCCTAAGTATTTTGTGTACGTTATAGTGAATAAATATGTGAGCAAAACACTGCCGTGCCATTCGAGAGGTCTGAGGTTCAAGTTTCTCGGCGGGCGGATTTTTTTTGCGTTTATTTTAGCTTTTTTAACTAAATTTTCTTTTAATTTTTAGTTTTATTGTTAAAAAAAATACATAAATTTTTTAATTTCATTTAATTTTTTTAAACAGGTTTTTTTTGCTTTTGTAATTTAGTTATTAGATTTTATTGTTTTAAAAAGAATTTTTATTTAAAGTAAGTTTAATATTGACGAACTTATTTTATTTTTTCTTTTTGTAATTAAAATTTCTTTTAATTTTTAGTTTATTTTATTTTAAAACGAAAATTTTTTTTTAATTTCATTTAATTTTTATATATATCTATACCTATATATTTTTTATAAGGAGATAAGAAAATGTTTTTTTTTTTTTTTATTTCTATTATTTATTTCAGTCATTATGTAGGAACTTACTTTATTTTTACTTGGTTTTAATTAAAATTTCTTTTAATTTTTGGCTTATTTTATTTTAAGAAAATATTTTTTTAAGTTTATTTAATTTTTAGTAACTTTAGATATCATTTTCAAAAGAAAAATATTTTTTAACATATCATTTACTTTTTAGAACTATCTTACTTTTTTAAATTTTTTATTTTTTAGTTTAATTTTCTGTTAGCTTTCAAATTTTATAGGTTTATTTGTATTTAATTTTTTGAAAACTTATTGCTAAAAGACAAACAGAATAACGCTAAGAGTCAATTTCACAGTGCATAGTTAACTCGGAATCGGCAGTTAACTACAGATTTTTATACTGCAAATCTCTAGTTAACTGCCGATTCTGGGTTAAATGCGTACTGTGAAATTGGCCCTAAGTCCCTCTCATTGGCAGATCTTTCAAATAGTCTTTCAAAAGGCAGAAAAGAACTTCCAAGATAGTTGCCAGAATTGACTTTTGTCTTTCGAAAGACTGCGGTGAGTTGATTTTTTCAAAATTACCCTGTTAATATCTCACAGTGTATGGACCTATTAACCGTCCCATGTTTTCCACTTCCTATGCCGTTATGTACGTACCAAAACAGTTCAGTTAAGATATTTTAAAATATTCCCATATTTACGATTATTATGCCCAAATTTTTAGAGAGAAGCTTAGAGAAAGAACATTTGATCAGACCTATCTTTACATGCCCCCCAAAATTGTCTCGATATTTGGCGATTAAAAACAACTCTCTCAATCAAACTGTCCAAATCGTCCCTGAAACGCATTGTTGGGTATAGCAGATGTTCGATTGGAGTTACGGGTCTTACAGCATCTCACTAGAACTTGTGGCAATAGTTCTGTGCCCATTCGTTCCCCCGTAATATGTAAATCTCGTGTTTGGCTCAGAGAACCTCATAAAGCTCCATGTTCTTCGTTCTTTCGTGTCCGAAAGTTTCTAGTTTACTCAAACATATTTATGCACATATGTGTTGGTAGGCGATATAATCAATACCGTCGATGCAAATGTGAGCAAATCAATTGAGCGCCAAAAAAAAAATTAACAAAAAGCTCGAATTCTCGCTAAAATGGCGCGGGTGGCCGATAGCAGTCAAGTGCATTGCTAATCATCACGCCAGCCTAGGCGCTTACATAAGCGTTTACGATTTCATAGCTCATAGATATAGCATACAGAGAGGAAGCGTGAATAAATGCAGATGCACACGCGCGGTACAGTGTGCGCGATAGTAAATCAAATGCTGTGAGCACACGCAAATGATAGCGTTGCACAGTTATGTAGTTCAGATGAAAGCTAATAAACTTTAGAAGATAATTGTTGATACCGATTTTGAATTTTTATTTGTTTTGTTATTAAGTGTAAAGTGCTAAAAGACAAGTTGAAAATAATTGTAGGGGTTTTCCAAGTAAAAAAAAAAATTCCCAAAAAAATTGGAAATGTTATAAAAATTTGTTTACCAAAATATTTTTTTTTTTATTATTAGAAAAGTTTTAGTTAGGCAGTTTTTAGGCTTACTAATATTTAGTAGTTTAATAAAGCGAAAGTTTCGAGTGGCTAAGAACTCGTTTTGATTTTTAAAATATGTATATATTTTATTGGCGGTGCTAAGCATTTTTTTCTAAATGCATACATAAAGCTTGCTGGTAAAGCCAGCAAAAAAATGTATCAAAAGTCAATGCTAATTCGTAGCTACTTAAAATTTGCACTTTATGGCACTAAAACTTATTGGCCTATGAAATTCTTAGCTACATTTTTTCTAAAAGTTCGGAAAAAAATTGAAACTTAAATTTTCCAATTATATGTTTTCGATTTAAAGGATTCCTATAACATTTTCAAACTATTTTTTATTATGTAAAATTTGTTAACAGAACACCCGAATAAATTTTCTTTAAAATTGCTACTTTCTCTGCACTCTGCACAAAACAATTTAATATTAACAAATAAAAATTCGAAAATCGGGCTCAACAAGTGTCTTCTAAAGTTTATTAGCTTTCATCTAAAATAAGCTTATCAAATCGGTTCAAACATGTTTATAAAAGTAAATTCCAGTTTTGTACCACTGTTCGTTGGTAGCACATAAAAATGATAAAATAATTCAGACAAACGCTCAAACAAAGCGTAGAAAAAAAAACCCGTTTTGGAAAGATATAAAAATAAACACCGTTAAAATGCAAATAATTGAAATGACGTGAATTGTTTAGCTGAAATGCGATATTGGCGACGCACGAAACGCGATGATACGAGTACATACATACATATGCAGCGCAAGCAGCCGCGGCAGAGGCTGAGGGCGGCTACGACAGCGGCTTGGTGTGTGCGCGATCTTGCGGATGTGTTGCTATGCGGTGGCAGTGGGGATTTTAATAGCCGCCTGCCTGCCAGTGATTCTGAGGGGTGGTTGGTGTGGTTTCTGCGGTAATGGTTTCCATTACAATTTATATACACGAAATCTCAAATTCTACGGAAATGTGGGATTGTGTTTTACATAAACGCATTACTTGCCTACATTCAAATAAATTTACATGCATCAACACATACTTGCATACAAATATACAAATGCATTTGTATTTGGGTTTGCTTAAGTGTCATCTTTATTGACTTAAAATATTTTTTTTGTTTTTTTGTTTTTGCCATTTGCATTTTTTGTTTGGCGTCATTCTTCTTTCGCTTATTGTTTATAAGTAGTTTGATATTTCAATTTTAATTGCACAATAATTTGTTTATTTATATGTTCATGGCGGCGGCTTTGCATTGCCATAGGAAATTGTGAAGGTAGTTTTTACGTCATTTCGAAATAATCTCAGCAAAGTAGTAATAATTAGCCTCAGGCTTTCGTGGCAATAGCATGGTGAGGAAAAATTTCGTATTTTGAAATATAACTAATGCAAAAATGCAGTAATAAAAATTTGGGATGCTGAAAAATGATTGCCATATTTAGGAAATAATTGAAATTTATGCAATTCCCTATGATTATAAAATTTTTCCCATGATGTTTTTGATATTTGAAATGATGTCTTTTAATGGTTTTTTAGGTCAAAATATTTAAACAATTTTTTATTATTTTTTTTTTGTTTTATCTTATGCTTTTTTACTGAGAATGTATAAAAAAAAAATAATTCAGAAAACAATTTTGGTAGGGTTGCCACCATACGAAAAAAAAATTTCATATGTGAAAATGGCTTGCTTTCTTGTGTTATCGCATAACTCAAGAACGGCTCAACGGGTTTGCTTTGTTTTTATTTCATTTTGTTTCTCTTTGTCTGTAGAAGGTTTGTAAAGAAAAAATTTAAAAACCGGTGTTGCCAAATATGATGCTGCCACATATTTCAAATATCAAAAAAAAAAAATTTAATTCACATACGCCGAAATAATGCACTTTACTGAGAATTTATAAACAAATTTAATAAAAAAAAAATTTAATAGGGTTGCTCCCACTCGAAAAAAATTTTTATATATAAAAATGAATTGTAGCTCGTGTGTTATCGCATAACTCAAGAACGGCTCAACGGATTTGCTTTGTTTTTTTCATTTTATTTCATTTTGTTTATTTTTATCTGTAGAATGTTTGTAAGGACACAATTTAAAAACCGGTGATGCCAGATATCTGAAATATCAAAAAAAAAAATTTAATTAAAAAAACGCAATAATTATATTTCACTGAGAATGCATAACAAATTTAATATTGAAAAAAATTTGATAGGGTTGCCAGCATTCGTATAAAATCTTATGTCACGATGTTTGTGGTCAGCTGCTCCGAAACGGCTTGACCGATTTGTATGAAATTTTTTGTGTATATTTGGAAATATATGAAATCAATCGCATACGCTTGTAGAAAAATTGGAGCTAAAGGGGGCGTGGCACCTCCCATACGAAATTAATCGCATACTCATAAAAAAATGGATGTTATTGGAAAAGGGGCGTGGCACCTCTCATACAGATCGAGTTTTTCATACTGCGTATTTCTGGATGTATTCATTGTATTCAAGTACACTACTCTACTCAAATAAAACGAATTTTTCATACTGCACATCTCTGGAAGTGTTCATGGTTGAGTACTCGAACATATAGTAGTATAGAGATGTACGAATCAATTATTGTTAAAAATTTTAGTTATGATTCGATCTGGCTTATATTCGAGCTACTTATGTATTGGTAACGGTAGGGGCAATACTATTCCAAAAAACAGTGGTCGTGAACGTGAATTGTTGGTGAAAATGTTGGACCAAAATATTTCAACATTTAAAAAAAAAAATCAACAAACTTTCATAGAAAACTTCGAGCTTTTTAATTCCAGCAATCCTAATACTAGGACAATTGTAAAAAAAAATTACAGCTAGTAAATCTGTAAAGAACGAAACTGAACTTCGGATTTTGTAAAAGCGAAAATAAACTCAAACTAGT